TAAATCGTTCGGTAAATGAGGTGCCAGGAAGTGTTGATTGTAAAGAAGTAGGGCATTCTGCAAGCAATGAAAGCTTAAGAGTTACAGAAAACTTCATCGAGAAAGTCAAACCCACAGCCGCGGAAACACGATTACCTGTTGGTAAATTCTGTTCTTCTATAGCCTCCACATGTACTGACGGTAATGGTTTTGGCGCCAGTTCGCTTTCTGCAGTGTTTGAGGGCAGATTCAGTGATGAGCCACTGGCGCAGCCACTTCGCTCCTCGCTTATAGCAGGCAACTTCGAGAAGGATAGCCTTCCAGAACGTCTGGGTAAAGCTCCACTACAAAAAGAAAACAGTGCAAAAATCAAAAAGTAACGCTGATCTTCTCAAACAACATATAATCAAACTTCAATCGCCTCCTAGGTGCTTTACTAGTGCAGCGCCGTTGAGGACAGAATTTTAAATAACCAAAGATTGGTAAGCAGAAAGCGATGGAAGGCATACACTAGCGTTCTTCTTTGAAAAAGCAAAAATGTAAGTCAACGAAGCGAGTGCTAGAACCATCAGCACAGCGGTTGAAGCTGATAAAAGCGGGAAACCTGCCAAGCTTGGACAAACTCGAAAATCATCAAACTTTTGAGGCATTTCCGGAATGCAAGAACTTCTCGTTTCCGCAAGTCTTTCTTCGGCAGATCGCTCCAAGTCAACGACCTGTATTGCACCTTTGCCGGGCAAAACAGCCTCTTGGCACGGCCTCGGAGGCTGCTGTGGGGGAATCACTTGCTCTGGTACTTCCTGCGGCACGCTGCAATATTGGTTTTGATCAGTAAAGCGAATTAACAGTGCATTGAGGATTCTGAATTGCTGAGAAAAAAGAAATGGAATTCTGAGCGTTAAAAAAAAATTACTTGGCTGTAGCGGTTCCACCAACGATTGCTAAGGGGCTCGACATCGGCTCTAAAACATGATAAAAAATTATGAATTTATCGGCAACTAATTTTTTTATTGAAAATCGCTTTCAAAAATTTAGAAATTAGTTAGCTTACTGCGTTTTCTGAATATGTTGACGGTCATTTCATCCGCAATTTCAAAATGCTGGTACAACATGGATCTGAAAATTTCATTCATCAATACAGCAGGCTAATGCATCGTACTGAGCGGTACTATTTACCTCTGCTTCGGCCAGAGCCTATAAGCATGTACAGGGTTCACAGTGCCTCCCATATATTCCGGTATATAAGCATTGCCGACTTTTCAAATTTTTTACTTTTCGCAATCGCTAATTGTTCGTACCAGTACGCATCTGCCATTAGTACAGAAGCGCTGGCGATTTTTTCTTCACATGCATTACCTTTTTATGCGTTTCGTGCTGTGTAACAGCAGTACAAAACGCATATTG